GATTTCCTATATATCAGATCATGTCATCTGTATAGAGAGAGAGTTTTACTTCTTCCTTTCTAATCTGGATGCCTTGTGTTTATTTTTCTTTCTTAATTGCCCTGTCTAGAATCCCAAACAATGTTGAATAGAAGTGGTGAGAGCAGACATCTTTGTCTTGTTCCTTAGGGGAGAACATTCCCCATAGGGCCTTAGGGGAAAACATTCCATCCTTTCAGCATTAAGTGTGATGTTTTCTGTGGGTTTTTCATAGATGTCCTTCATCAGAGTAAATAAATTCCCTTCTGTTCCTAGTTTGTCGAGTGTTTTCATCATGAAAGGCTGTTGGGTTTTGTCAAGTGCTTTTTCTGTATCTAGTTAAATGATCATTTGGTTTGTATGCTTTATTCCATTATTATGATGTATTACATTGATTTTTGAGTGTCGAACCAATCTTGCATTTCTGGGATAAATCCCACTTGGGTCATGGTGGAATTTATATATAAATTTTTTTTTTTTTTTTTGTATTTTGTTGGATTCACTTTGCTAGTGTTTTGTTGAGGGTGTTTGTGTCTATAGCATAAGGGAAATTGTATAGTTTTCTTGTGATGTCTTTGTCTGGTTTTGGTATCGCAGCAATACTGGACTTACGGAATGATTTGGGAAGTGTTCACTCCTCTACTATTTTTTGGAAGAGTTTGTGAAGGACTGGTGTTCCTGCTTTGTCCTGAACTCGCTCTAATCAGGCTTTTTGCCTCCACCATTGTGCTGAAACTGCTCGTCAAGACCTCCAGTGACCTCCACGTTGCCAAATTCAAAGGTCAGTTCTCGGCCATCATCTCACACTCATCAGCAGCATTCGACACCACATTTTCTTCTTTCTTGAAACACTCTCTTTTCTTGCCTTCCACACTCTCTCCTGGTTTTCTTTCTGCCTCACTTGCTGCTCTTTCCCAGTCTCCTTTGCTGGATTCTCCTCCTCTGTCAGATCTCTCTCTTAATAGCAGAGAGCCCCAGGGCAGAATTCTTGACATTTTTTTCTATCTTTTCTCAGATTTTAGGTGATTTCATCTGTTCTCCTGAATTTGAACACCAACTGTATGCTGAGACTCCCAAATTTGGAGCCCAAATGTGATCTCTCTCTTTATCTCTGGATTTATATGTGTACTGCCTACTGGACTCCTTAATGTGGCTGTTGAATGTACATCTCAAACTTAACAAGTCCAAAATCAAACTTCTCATCTGTCCCATCGAAACCTGCTGCTCCCCCATCTTCCCCATCACTATTAACTGCGACTTTATCCTTCCAGGTGCTCAGGACCGAAAATCTTGGAGTCATCCTTCTTGGCTCCTTTCTTTCTCTTACTCCCTACCCATTCCATAAGCAAATCCTGTTTGGACTATCTTCAGAATAACCAGAGCCTAACCACTTCTTACCAACTCCGTGATTAGATTATTACCCTGGTTTTCTCCAGCTGATTGCTCTAATAGGCTTCTGGCTGGTCTCCCTGCTTCCTCCATTGCCCCCCTTGAGTCTGTTCTCAACACAGCAGCCACCTGAGAGTTTTTATCATGAATAGATATTGAATTTTGTCAAATGATTTTCTGCATCTATTGAGGTTATCATTCGTTTTTCTTTTATGGGAAATTACATTGATTTTCAAATGTAAATCAACTTTACATTCCTGGGATTAACCCCATTTGTTTGTGATGTATTATCCTTTTCATATATGTTAGAGTTGACTTGCCAAAATTTTAAAAATGTTTGAATCTATGTTCATGACGGATGTTGATGTATACTTTTCTTTTCTTATAATGTCCTTTTCTGGTTTTGGTGTCAGGATAATGCTGGCCTCAAAGAATTAGTTGAGAAGTGTTCCCTCTTCTTCAATTATGTGGGGAAAAAATTGTATAGAATTGGTATTTACTTTTAACCTGTCTTTATATTTAAAGTAAGTTTCTTGTAGACAGCATATAGTTGGTTCATGGTTTTTTACCTAATCTAGCAATAACTTTGCTTTATTTTAGTGGTTGCTTTAGGATTTATAGTATATCTTTGGCTTATCTCCATCTACCTTCAAGTGATATTTTACAACTGTACATATTTATTATATAAGAACCTTACAACTACGTACTTCCATTTCTCCCCTCCTGGCCTTTGGGCTATTGTTATCATATGTTTTACTTTCACATATGTTATAAGCCCCACAATTCATTGTTACTGTTTTTGCTTTAAAAAATTGATTCTGTTTTAAAGACATTTAAATAAGAAAAAAGACACATACTTAAGTACCTTTCTATTATTTCTGGTGTTCTTTGTGCCTTTGTATAGTGCCAGATTTCTATTTGATACATATACCTTAGGCTGCTCCATATTGTCCCACTGCTCAACTAATGCTCTGTTAATTTTTTAAGTCTTTTTTTCCTCTCTGTATTTCATTCTAGATAGCTCCTGTTACTGTGTCTTCAAGTTCACTAATCTCTTTTTCTTCTCTTAATCCTATCCAGTGTATTGCTCACTTAGACATTGTATTTTTCACCTGTAGAAATTCAATTTGGGTCTTTTTTGTATCTTCAAAACCTCCCTGCTTCCTCTTTTGCCTATCTTGAGGCTTTTCTCAACATAACAGCCAGAATAATCCTATTAAAATGTAACATGCTACTCCTTGGCTCAGAACTTTGCAGTGGCTTCTCATCTTATTCAGCTAAGAAGCCATAGTTTTGAATAAGACTGACAAGGCCCTGCGTAACTTCCTCTGACTTTATCCATTACCTCTCTAATTTTATCTTCGACCCTCCCTCCTCTCCATCTACTCTGATATTCTTCTATTCCTGGAATATATGAGATATGCTCCCACCCCAGGGCCTTTGCCCTTGCTTTTAACTCTTCCAGAAATGTTCATCCATATATCCACAGGCCTCATCCCTCACTTCCTTCAGGGTCTTACTCAGATGTCACCTTCTCAATAAGGTGTTCCCTTCCATCCTACTTAAAACCTTAATCTCTGCTCATACAGGCACTGCCTGTCCTGAACCCTTGCTTTAGTTTTCTGTGTAGCTCTTATCACTTATATACTGTACTCTTTTATATAATTAATTGTATTAGTTGTTAGTCTCCTCAATGCTGTAAGCTCTGTGAGGGCAGAATTTTTGTCTGTTTTCTTTGCTGCTTGACTCTCAGCTTCTAGCATAGTACCTGGCACAGATATTTGTTGAGTGAATGCATAAATGAGAGCCTATTGGCACAAAAGGATGAGTGGTAGGGTGTGATAAAAAGGGGAGGAAATTAGCACATTTTATAGAGCTGTTTCCAAAGTCCTTTTCACCTATCATTTAATCCTCATAACCAAGAAGTGTAGTGTTACCATCATCCCCATTAGAAATAGAACAGAAACGCAGCTATTGGACTTTGGGGAACCAGACATAGACCCGGCTTAAGTAGCGGGACTGGGACTTGGACAGTGCCCTCCGTCAGGTGCCATGAGTGAGTTAGTACCCAGTTAGCAAAGGCCTTGAGGAAGAGGCTTTCAGCTCCTTTCAACTTTGATTTTGCTTATGCCCATTCCCCCAGGGAAGGAGCAGAGCTTCTGCCACGGACTTCATACAAGCAAGTCCGCGTTTCTGAGCTACAGCATCCTAAGAAAACTCCAGCATGGCAGAGTGAGCAGACCACCTCCAGATGCCCAGGAGAGCCTGGGACTTATTTTTAGCCAGAATAGGAAAAGTGCCGAATATCTTCCAGGAGAGTTGGCAGCTGGCGGGCTGCTGATACAGCTGTGTTTATGTAAGCTGGCTGCAGAGGCGAGTGTGAGGGTTAGAGAGGAGGCAGGAGGTGTTGAGTCCACCTATACACTTGCTCATGCTCTGATGTCCAGTTGGGAAGTTGTGGGTCAAGAGTTATTGCTAAGGAGAGAGAGTCGTGCAGATGATTTGGGGATTCCAGAGAGGATGGGAGCAACTGACTCCCCCGAGTGAGAGTATTTGTTGAAGCAGTCCCTTAGAAGATCTGTCCACCAGTTCTTGGCCTCTTCCCACCCTATTATACAGGAGTAAATAAAAGAATAAGATCTCGGGGCCGGCCCTGTGGCCGAGAGGTTAAGATCGCACGTTCCGCTTTGGCTGCTCGGGGTTTGCCAGTTCAGATCCTGGATGCAGACCTACACACCACTCATCAAGCCATGCTGTGGCGGCATCCCACATAGAAGAACTAGAATGACTTACAATTAGGACGTAGAACTACGTTCTGGGACTTTGGGGAGAGAAAAAAAAAAAGGAAGATTGGCAACAGATGTTAGCTCAGGGCCAATCTTGCTCACAAAAAGAAAAAAAGAAAAGAATAGAATCTCATTCAAATGGTGCAGCTATAAAGCAGAACAGTTCATCTGATTCTGACCATATTCCTCAGATGTGCCAGGTGAAAGCAGTCTCTCACACCCCATCCTACAGAGGGTGTCGAAATAGTGGGCTCCTGTTTTCTCAGAGGCAGCAGAATAAAGCTTTTGAAGACGTCATCTGTGGTCTCTCTTGAGGACAATCAAGGTTGAAACTTTTTCCAGTAGGGATTTTTTTTTTACATTTAATTAGGAAAACATTCAAATAGAAACAAAAGTAAAGCAAATAGTATAAGGAACCCTCATGTACCCATCACCCAGCTTCAACGATTATCAACACGGCCAATCTTGTTTCATCTGTTCCCCCACCCACTCTGAAATTATTTTGAACAAATCCCTGAAAGCACATCATTTCATCTGAAAATATTTCAGTTCGTACCTCTAAAATATAGGGAATCTTTAAAAAATAACTGCAATACCATCTTCACACTTTAAAAAAATGAATAATTTCTTTTATTTTTTTTTAAGGAAGATTGCCCTGAGCTAACATCTACCACCAATCCTCCTCTTTTTGCTGAGGAAGACTGGCCCTCAGCTAACATCCGTGCCCATCTTCCTCTACTTTATATGTGGGATGCCTGCCACAGCATGGCTTGATGGGCAGTGCATAAGTCCACACCGGGGATCCGAACCAGCGAACCCTGGGCCGCCGAAGTGGAATGTGCAAACTTAACCACTGCACCACCAGGCTGGCCCCTATGAACAATTTCTTAAGATGAAATATATAATGTTCAGAATCCCCCAATTGCCTAAACAAAATTTTTTTTCACTTTGTTTAAATCAGGATCCAAAAAAAGGTTCATCTCTTCCCGTCTCCTTTGTAATTTATTGCTGCAGAAACCAGGTCATTTGTCCTGTAGAGCTTCCCATGGTCTGGATTTTGTGATCACCTCCTTGTGGTGGGTTCAGCATGTTCCTTTGCAAGGTTATTTATTTGTTATCTACCAGTTTCTTGTAAATTGGTGGTTAGATCTAGAGACTTGGTCAGACTCAGGTTCAGTTTTGTGGCAGAAATCCTTCCTAGGTGGTGCTGTGCGTTTCCATCAGAGACAGGGAGAGTCTGGTTCCTTTCTGTGAGGTTAGCAGCTTAGAATCATTGCTGAGACCCCATTGACAGATGCCTAATGAATTTTAAGGAACGCATGTGGCTGCAATGGCTGTCTCTGAGTAGTACATTCAGAGAAGCATTTCCTGGAAAATGTGTTGTTTGTTTGTTATTTCCCAGTCATGGGGACAGCCCTGCAAGTCTGCCCTGCTGGCTGCACTGTGGGCTAATCCAGGGCATTTCAGGGAAGCCACCCGCCCTGGGCTTGGCGTGTCTTGGTCAGCTCTGCAGGGTGTTATGGCTGTTCCTTCCCACCAGAGGACACTGTGTCTCCAGGACTTCACGTGGTTCCCAGCCAGTCTTGCAGCTTCAAGGCCTCTCAGAAGGCCAAGCCTTTGGTGTGCATTTATTAGGCACCAACTATGTGCCTCTCATGGCAAGAGGAGAGATGAAAGAGATCGAACACAAAGTCCTGTGGTGGTGTTTTCCAAGGTAGTTTCTTTGTATTTTCCTTTAAAAATAAACAAACAGAGGTACTTCTCCATCTGTGGGAAACCACTGTAGCCCCCACAGGGTGGCTGTCTCCTGCTATAAACTGCAAATTTGGTGACTTGGTGTTGGATTGTTTTAAAAAACAACTGCAATATATGTGCTTTTTGGAATGTGAATGTATCCAAGAAAGATGCCAAAGTGTATTCATCTCCGAAATAATTTATTCATTTATTCAACACCACATATTGACTATCCAGGGGTAAAAGGGAGGGGAACTGAGGCTTACTGAGAGCTGCTCTGTCCCATCCTTTTTACTGACATCCTAGCAAGATGTGTCATATTAGCCTTGTTTAAATCCCAGGAAAGTGAGTCTTACTGAGCCTGAGTGAACTAACTGGCTGAAGGCTATCCTGCCAAATGCAAGTCAAGGTCTGTATGAATAAATTTGTGTGTTTTCCAGTAAACCCCTAGACACCATGCTGTCAGCGTAGTACTCAGAGATAGTGACGTGATTACAAAGGCATCCTGTCCTTGTGGAGGTCATGATATAACACAGAAGGTACAACAAACGGACAAATGATTACAGGTCCCCTAATACGTGGGCACCCTTGTGACACACAGCCTGCTGCTGCTGCTGTGATGCTGGCCTTCTGCAGGGGGGAGGCCACCGACCACTAGTGAGACAGCATCCTGGGGCTCTGCAGGAGTGATGCTTTGTGTTGACTGCCCACTTGCCCTCACCTCATCTCCCCCATGACCAAGGTTTTTGGGGGCATCTGCGTGATTGATGTATGACCACTAATCTATCTGGAGTGCTTGCAAAGCCATGGCAGACGTAGCCCCTACTGTTCACAGTCTGTAGTTTCATGGAGGAAGACAAAGGCAGATACACATGTTGTTAGGGAAAAGCAATGAGATCTTGAAGATTCTGTGCTAATGTAGCAAATAATTTCAAATGCCTTTCCAGTTATTCATATTTTCAAACCCACTTACCCCCTCCCAGCCTTGTCCCTATGGCCGCATAGTTCAGCCCCGGCAGCACGACTGAACTCACAGCACGACCTGTGTAATTGACTGAATGCGGTCAGTTACATGAAGGAGAGAGAATGACAGCTGGCAGTTGGGAGAATGGGTGAACTGGCTTCAGCTAGGAAAGAAGATAGAGGTGGCGGGTGTCTAAAGAAGCAGGGCTTGGAGTGTTCGGAGAGACCCAATCCTGAACGTCACTGCAACCTCAGGCAAACACAGCTTCAAGGTTCTGGGAAGAGAGGACGAGCGTGGGTGTGATTCAAGCCACCACCCTCCTCCAAACGAGCCCGAGGATAATGAATGAGCCATCAGCTAGCGCCTTTGCTCTCCAATGAAAGGACCTCCCCCTGCAGATAGTCCCTCTGCAAATACAGTCATGCCCCAGGAACCATCTGGCAAATGTGCCTGTTCCTTCAGCATTTCTGGTAATTCCCTGACTTGCAGCCCCTTTTTCTTGGATATAAATTGTTGCAGCAAGCCAAGCAGGCAGAATGCTTACCGGCGCTTCACAGGCTTTCCCTGAGCCTGGTTAACCCCGTGGCTTGCAGCCTATGAGGCTGCTCCCAGCTAATGGATGCCTCGGATGCCTGTGTTTCTCCTCTCTGCTGTTCTTGTGTGTTTTGGAGTATGCCGAGGCAGCTTGTGAGCTGCAGACCAGAGCTGCAGCAAACCAGATTGAGAGGCCAGGGGGAAAAGCGCATTTCCGTTGCAGGACGTCCTTCACGGAGAAGGGACAGGTTAACTCCATCTCTCTGCAGAGGACTTGGACAGCTCCCCGAGGAGCCACAACAGGCTGCCACAGCTGTAGGACAGATCACGTGCTCTGGCTGTGCACGGGAGGATGCCCAGCAAACCCAGATTGCCCACGCCAGCCACTGGGCCCCATTTTGCACAGAGCCACGTTCCTCCTCTAACCCAGCCTGATGGTGTGCAAAGCTGGAGAATTGTGGATCACCTTGGGGTCACTTGAGCCAGCCCCCTATTTCCAACCTGCTTCACTGATTCTAGTTCAGAGGAGGCAGGAGCTAGAAGGGAAGACTCTCATTAGTCTCCCATCTCCTTGGTGATGTGCTTCATGGACTGGGAGGCCAAGCTGAGCTATCAACCATAAGCCCTCTCACCCCTATCCAAGGAGTACTGGATTGTTCCAAAGGAGTGGGAGAGGAAGCAATCAATGCAAAGACTCCCAGAGTGTCACCATCACCCTAACAACCAGCGGGCAGTTTCTATGCAGATTCACACCTTCCTGCCTTAGAACATGCAGTTCTGTCTGTCTTGAATGCATCAAGCCTCATCTGCCTGGCGAATTCCTACTTTGTCTTTTAAGATTCAGCTCCAGTATCACCCACTTGGACCCTCTTTCCTCATACAAGGAAGATAAAATGTAGGTAATATAATGCAAGGTCAAAAGAAGAAAGGGATTCAGAGGAAGGGGTGGTCCGTTTGGGTTGGGGAGTGAGAGAGGCCTTCCGGTAGGAGGAAACGTTCAGCAGAGAGATGTGCACGGCTGACCAGGCTGTTTACTGAGGAGGCAGGACCTACGTATAGCAGAACCTCAGGTCACACAGAGTGACCACCACATGCTTTGCACGCCTCTCTACTCAGTACCTATCACATTGTACCTGCAGTGTTTTTTAGCATGTCTTCTCCACCTGTCTTAGATAGAGCTCATTGAGGGCAGAGACTACGTCTCATTCATCTCTGTCTCTGGAGGCTCAATCTGTAAAGATGTTTGCCGGCAGTGTTTTGGAAGGGAAAATCAGAGATGGCGGGATTTAGATATGGATTCTCCTACTGAAATCTCCTGGTCCCACCCACTTGTTTCACAAAAGACAAAATCAAGGTAAGGAAACCCTGCCTTCCCCAGGGTCACAGGGCTAAATGGTGACAGAGCTGGGATAACAACCCAGGTCTTCTGACTCCCGGGCCTGCTGGCAAGTACGCTCACATCCTGATCTCTATTTCCCCGGTCCAGCCTGGGTGGAAGGGCTGATGGGAAATGAACAGGCTTCTGGGCCAGCGGCAAGAGGAAGTAGGGTTGAGTGATGCCAGCTGAATTTAAGAGCTGGAAGAGATGTCAGAGGCCATCTAGTCTGAACTCTCCATTTACAGATGAGAAAACGGAGCCCCACAGGGTTGAGGTGCTTTGCCCAAGGTTACACAGCAAGCTGGTGGCAGAACTAGGACTAGAATGCAGGCCTCCTAATTCCCAGGAAAGCTGAGAGTTACACTCCCACCCCAGAAACATGACTGCCAAGCCCTCCTGACCAGCTGCTAGCCGAGGGGTAGGTCCCTGGAGTCCCTGACTCTTACAGGCTTTCCTCTCCCTCTCGTGGTGGCACAGCATTTAAGTAGGGTGCATTCTGCATAAATAATAAAGAATGCTTCCCTTCCAGGGAGGGCGGCTGCGTCTGGGCGGGCAGTGTGGCAGATGGTATTTACAGTGTGCACTGAGCAGTTCTCACATAGCCTCACTTGCGCCGTGCGGCTGAGAGATGGAGGAAGCAGGTTTGAGTGCCCATCGTCTCACTCCTCTGCCTGGTGTTTCCAGGCAGCTGCGGCTGCTGTGGCCGCCGCTGCCGCATTTCTCTTCACGGCTGTCTCCCCAGCACTGTTGCCTCTTTCCGTGCTGGATATGGAGCTCCAGGATGTTTTGCTGTTGCCGCTGCTGCTGCTACATCCTCATCATCAGAAAGCCTGCCTCGTGGACCCCAAGGCATTCTTCACGGGAACTCCTCATGGGAGACGGTGCCGGATTAATTGACATTCTTCCCCAACGGAGGCTGAGGAAGTCCTAGGGGGCCACACACTGGGCAGACTTCCCAGGAATTCTGACCTCTGGGAGGCCTTCCTTAGGCCTGAAGAAGTATAAATAGCACAGGTTCATTCATTAAGCAAATACTGTTTGTGAACCTTCGATGTGCCAGGAATTGTTCTAGGAGTTAAGGTATTGCTATAGGCAAACAAACCAAGTCCCTGCCCTCCATGAACGTACACTCTAGTGGAAAGGTCTACCACGGGCCTCGTGGCACATGGCCCCTGGCCCTCCCAGAATGTACGTTTCTTCCACTCTGCTCTTGCGAACACCCTCATGCCTGGTGCAGTGTGGTGGTGAACAAGAGCAAACCTTTCTCCCTCCTTTGGGGACACTGATTGCACCGTACCATAAGAGGAACAAAGCTGATAAACATACCAATGGCTTTTACTCTAAAGCCAGAGACATCCCCAAAGTTTCTGAGCCATACAGCCTGTAGCTACACAAGCCCCACTTGGGCACCCCACTTTAGCCCCACCCAGCTGTCCTGGGAGAAAGTCACTGCAGACAGTGGTCCGGGCCAAGGCATTTAACACATCGGGAGCTTTTGTCTTTCCTTCTTGAAATAAGAAATGTGGTGAGAGGAGTGTAAAATCAAACCTCCTCTGGGCTCAGGGATGTTAGGATCCCCCCTTGTAAAATGGAGGCAGTTGTACTTGTCCTGCTCACCTCAAAAAGGCCGGCTTTTTGAGGATGAAATGAAATGATAAATATGGAAGTGTTTTCTAATAAAGGCAGCAGGCATATAATTGTATTTTTATTACGCAGAAGAATCTTTTCTCCATAACATAAACTTGTTTCTTGTTGGGGGTTGAGAGTAATAACTATGTAATTAGACTTTGTGTCATATCAAGAGACATGCTCTGTTTTTCATTAAACAGACATTTGTTCAGCTCCTACCGTGTGCAATGTTGTGTATTGTGATGGTCGCAAAATCGAATAAGCCACAGCCTCTCCTTCAAGGAATATACGTTCTCATACAAGGAAGATAAAATGTAGGTAATATAATGCAAGGTCAAAAGAAGAAAGGGATTCAGAGGAAGGGGTGGTCCGTTTGGGTTGGGGAGTGAGGGAGGGCTTCCGGTAGGAGGAAACGTTCATCAGAGAGATGTGCACGGCTGACCAGGCTGTTTACTGAGGAGGCAGGACCTACGTATAGCAGAACCTCAGGTCACACAGAGTGTTGGAGGCCCAAAGAGAATCCAGAAACGGGAGCCTGGGGACCAGCCAAGCCCCAAGGAGATGGCAGAGAGGGAAGATGAGACCTGGCAAAGCAGCTGGTAGTTTCCCTGAATATGTGATTGGCTAAATCTTGGAACTGGAAAGTTTCCTCTCTTCTTTTCTGAGCTTCACTTTTGGGCACCCACGCCTCTCTTTGAAAGGGTTTGGTGTCTGTGAACCTAGACATCTTTCAGGAATGATTTAAGTTACTCGGAAAATTGGGGACCCTGGAGTGAGAAAGGAAGAGACGAAAGGAAAGGGGGGAAAAATTGGTTTGGCAGTCTTGTTCTGTTTGATCTGGAAGACAGCGGGCAATAATGGAAGAATGCTGGAGCTGGGGATGGAGGGGTTGGATTCCAAGTGGCAGTCTCCTCCCTGAGCTGCGTCCGCTGTTCGGACTTGCAGACTTCAAACACGACTAGGGGATTCCTGGAAGACAAAAGAATTCAGGGCCGGGCCTTGGATCTCAGTCAAAAATAACTCATGTCTTCATCTCAGGCAGGCAAACGGCTCCGGGCTGTTTGCAGGTTTCTCAGAAGACTGGAGCTCCTCGTGGGGAGAGGGGACGGTCAGGGTCAGTTTAGGTTTGCTTTAGGGAGAGAAAGGGCCTTGAAGGGTGTGGGACACATCAGAATGGGAAACTTGTTGAAAAAGAGGCCAAAGCAGGAGAGGTTCTGGAGGAAAAATCACCCCCGCTCACCCTCTGCTCTGTGCTGCCATTTGCTTTGAGTGGTAATTACAGCCCTTAATGTTTCTTCCCTGGCTTCTCATTAGCTCACGTTGTCTACAAACAAACTCCTCGGCTCCCCTCACTCCCCCTTCCCTCTCCCAGCGGCTCCTCCTGGCTTTCCTGGTTCATCAGTGGCAGCCCCATTGTTCCAGCCCCCCAGGTTCAGAACATCAGTTCCTTAAAAAACCTCCTCCCCGTCTTGGTGGGTGCCTCTTAGAGACTCAGCCCCCCAGAAGCTCTTCTCTCTCCCTTCCTCCTTTAGCCCACTGGGCTGTAATTAGAGGATTATCTAATTTTCTCCCAGGAGGCCAGGGCCCGCGTCTTATTCCCTTTGTATTCTCAGCACCTCGGCCAGGGTCTGGCAAATAATGGACACTGGCAACATGTTAGCTGGATTGCACTCTTGAGCTGCTGCCAACCTAATCTTCCTAAAATGCTGCTCCAGCCCTCACTACTTCTTCATCGCCCGTTGAGCGAGGTCCACCCTCCTCAGACTGGCACTCAAGAACTTTTGTGACCTGGTTCTCACCCACCTGGCCATCCCCACTTTGTGCTCACCCAAGTAGTTGTTCCCCACACTGTCAGTGACTTTCCTATCTGTGTCTTTGCTGCAGTGGTTCCTTCCACCCAGAAACGCTTCCACACTTTCCACTCCACAGCTGTCCTGTCTTTCAAGGCTCATCTCAACAACGTGCTCCTGCACATCCCAACGGAGTTTGACTCTTTGGAATTTGAACTGCTCTCTCCCAGTCTCTTATCCTGTGCTGCGTTGATCTAGAGTGTCTTGTTAGGAACTTTAAAAGAGGTCATGGGTGTGGAGCACTTACAAAATGAAGAGCAGTGTATAAATGGCAAACAGCCCTTGCTTGCTGTCATCTCCCACTAGCCTCTGAGGGCAGGGCCCATGTGCAGTCACCCCAAGGCATCTACAGGTCCCTGGCCCATGGCAGCTGATCAGTGAAAGTGAGTAGGCACCATGCCCAGTCCCTCCTCTGTCCCCAAGATGGCACAGAATGTGCAGGTCCTCTGTCATCTTTGGTTGAAATGGGACAAAAGCTGTCAGAGAGCCTGGCCACTCCCATCCCTCAAAGGTTTCAGGCCTTGGGCCCCAGTTCCCATGTCCCACTGCCTGGGGAGTGGGTTGTACCCAGTTGCAGATTCCCCTGTGGGTAAGGGGTGGAAGGGGCTGGCTGGAAAGGCTGAGGCAACACTGAGGTGAGAATATGGCCTCAGGTTCACAGAGGATGTTGGATGTCACACCTCGTCTCCAAGTCCAGATGGCCAGTCTCCTTCCAGCAGGGGCTGGGGAAAGGGTAGCATTGTCCTGAAGGGAGGCTGCTGGTTAGAGGTCGGGAATTTTCCTAGGAGACTTTTGGAAACACCATGGCGAAGGGCGGTGAAATGTTCCTAAGACAGACAGAGGAACTAGATACCCTTCTGGATACTTCTCAGATGCTCCGCCTGCCCTTTATTCTAACTGCTGCTGCCCTCATGACCTCTTCTTTGGACAGCACCTCCCATCTCCCTATGCTCAGGCCAACCTCCCTCCTGTCTGTCTTCCACACTATAGCTGGAGGGCTCTTGTAAAATATTACTCTCCTGCTCACAATCCTTTGATAGCTCCCTATTTCTCTTACAGTAAAGTCCAAGGTCTTTTCTCATGAAACTCACAGCCTTTCAAACCGTCCCTCCAGGCTGGGGTCCTTACATTGAGCACATTGCTCTAATTTCCAGCCATGCCAAATTGCTTGTAGTTCCCCTCCCATACCTCCTGCTTCACAAGCCCAGCCTCTGCCCATGCTCTTCCTTCTGCCTAGAATGCCTCCCCTCCAGCTTTCCCACTTTGCCTGGTCTGGGGGGGCATATCCTTTGGGAAGCCCTCTTAGACCCACAGGGACCCCCTCCTTTGGGTCTCTATACCCCCAGGGCTTCCTTGGCTGTCACTCCCAATTAAACACTTTCTGGAGGACAGGGTCTGGATCTTAACTACCTCTGTATTCCCAGAGCTCAGTCACTGACACTTAGTAGGAGCTCAGTAAACGTTCAGGGAACTAAACTGAGCTGGCTGAGGTTCCTTCCACCTCAGGGGATCACAGAGCTGGATATGTTGATAAGAGCTGTCCTGGGAATGGAGAAAAGGCAGATTCCAAAGGGCAGCTGGGGTCAGAACACTGCCCAGGGCTCTGGGCATCTCTGCAGAGTGGCCACCCCTTCTTAGTCCTTCTCTTCCCTCTCCCCTGAAACCACCCACTTCCTGGCCCAGGTCTCCAGTCTCAAAGACCTAAGTCACACCCATGCTGCTCCTGCAAATGCTATCAGCAGGTGGGGGGAGGCAGTGACACTGACCTGGGGGCCCCCTGCCACCGCTGGTACCTTGGGGCTTCTTTCCACAAAGGAGTCAGCCTCTCTTCTGTCCCCTGAAGGCTGTTTTCAAAATCACACCCTATGCCGACAGTTTTATTTACAAGGAAATCTTGGCAGGATCTTGACTTGTTAGTAGAGTAGGGATGGGGGGAGGGTGGTGAGAAACAAAAATAGTTGAAATGATCACACTTTCTGCAACCGAGATGAGAATTGGTGTCTGTAGCAAACTCACCTAATTAGAGCGGAGTTAATTTCCTTCTCTGTGTTTAAGGGGAGCAGTCATTGCCGGGTGAGATGGACACGGGTTGGATCCTGGGGCTGGGGTTATGTGTTTGCTTTATGGAGATGAGAGCATTAATTGCAACTTTCACTATCGGAAAAGAGCCTCGGTTTCTGAGAGGGGGAGAGAGGAGCCAAGGGCAGTGAGTGAGTGAGTGAGTGAGTGGCTGGTGGGAAGAGGAAGGAAGAGGACAGCCGTGGTGTGGACTGGGGACTGACTGTCAGACATCACCAGGAATGAGTCCCTGAGCCTCCTGGGAGAGCCAGGCACCTGTCCCAGCCGGCCACTGGCACCGTTTACAGGCAGAGCCTCTGCTTGGGGAGACAGTTATCCCCTGGGAGGTCTTTCCTGCAGGGAACCAGTTCCAATTTTTTTCTTTAAAGATCCTCCATTCCTTTGCTCTAACTTCATTCCTATTAGCTTTAGTTTCTTCACCTCCTCTCTTCCAGCTGGGGTACTTCCCTGGGCTTCCCTTTGTCAACGTGGTCAAATGAAGCCAGGGCACCGTCATAGAGCTCTGCGTGTAGGGGGGGCAAGATTTAGGGTTTCAGACTCCCCTATCTGACTCCTCCCATCCCTAAATTACTGGGCCTACCTGCACCTCCCAGAATCTGAGACCGAGGTGAGGAGAGATGGAAGTGTGGTCGGGGGATCCCGTCCTCCCTGCATCCCGCCCCCAATTCGCTCCCAGTTAACCCCGACGTTGCCAACTTAGTGAAAAGCTCACCCCTGCCTCCTTCACATATCTGCTGCCTCCAAGTGACCGTTAACCCGGTAGGTCTCGGGAAGTGGGCACTGCACAACCCCCACCCGGTGCGGAGAGACAAACCCGGACCCAGGGTGGAGGCTGGTGGTGATGGGGCCAAGGACTGCGCAGCCCCATCCTGGCCACGGGCAGTGCAGCCACTTCCCCGCCAACCCCGCCGCAGCCCTCCCCCTCTCCCGGCCGCGCCGCTCTGACCGATTTGGCCCGGGTGGTGGCGCCCGGGGGTGGGGATGGGGGTGGGGGGGGCGGAGGACGGCGGTCCCCGGGAGCAGCCCCGCCCCCGCCTGCGCGCCGCCCGCGAGGAGTCCGCGGGGAGGAGGAGACTCGGGCGCAGAGCGGGGGCCGCGGGAAGCGAGAAGGGAGCGCGGGGAGCCGCGGGGCCGGGGCCGGCCCAAGGGCGCCTCGCCTCGGAGCCGGGCGTGGGGACCTGGGCGGGGGCGGAGGCGGAGGCCGGCGGGGCCGGGAGCGCGGAGAAGTTTGGCGGCGGAGGGGCCAGGCGTCCCGCGGTCGCGAGGCGGCGGCGCAGGGGCCGGGGCCATGGGGGCGGGAGCGGGCGGCTGGGCTGGCACGGAGGCGGCGCGGCGCGCACAGAGCCCCGCGAGCGGCGCGGACGCCGCGGCGCAAAGTTAGCCCGGCGCCCCGGGACGAGCCCTGTAGCCGCTGGCCGCCCCTGGACCCCGCCTCGGCATGGGCGAGCACCCCAGCCCGGGACCCGCAGTGGCCGCCTGCGCCGAGGCGGAGCGCATCGAGGAGCTGGAACCCGAGGCCGACGAGCGGCCGCCCGCGGCGCCGGAGGACGTGAGTGCTCCCTCCCCCGCCTGGGCAAACTTTCTGGGGGGCACTAGGAAGAGCTGCCCCCGTCTCCCCCTCGCGGGGCAACTTGGAGGTTTCAAGGTGACGCGGGAGCGCCCCGGATTGGCCGGGTCCCCGCGGACGGGAGGGGGCGGAGGGACCGGTCTCCCCCAAACGCGCGCGCCACCCCTTTCTCGGGCTCCCGCGGCTTCCCTGCGGGACGCAGCCCCGGCAGCTGCGCTGGGGGCCTGTCTGCCGCCGGAGCCCCCTCTCCGCGGCTGGTGCAGTGCCCGGGACACGGCGTTTTCCCGCAGAGGCGGCCGCGTCACAGCAGTGACTCCCCTCCCCACGCAGTCGCGACCTGCGGGCTCTCTGAGCCCGGAGAAGGAGCGGGCGCCGCAGAGTTCCCGGAACCCGGCAGCGCAGACCGATCTGGCGACCCCCTTCTTCGCTCCTGGATTAGCTCCCGCCTAGCACCTGCCCTGTCGCGACACTGATTGAAATTCAAGCTGGCCCCTGTCCCTGAACCCTGCCGGAGGAGGGAGAGGAGTGCTGGGAGCGCTTTTACCCCCAGCAGGGGGCTCAGGAGTCCCAGACCGCGTCGGTGCCAGCAACGGTCCCCTGGGCGAGGATGGGGAGGGGCTGCCCCAGAGGGCTTCCCTGCCATCTGCTGCTCCAGTCTCCCTTCCTCTAGTCCAGGGAGCCATCGGTGGAGCGGGCACCGGGGAGTCCGGGGAACTGGAGTTTCTTATGCTTCTCCTTCCCGAGGTTAACCTGCAAATAGAGGTGAAAAACTGGGCAGACACTTTGCCCATCCTCTCTCAGGGTAGGGAGGTGGACGTGAAGCCAGGCCTCCCAACCTACCCAACCTAAGCCAGAAAGTCTGAATGTGCCCCCGGGGAGCTTAACATCTTCCCTGCCTGGCTCCCGTGGTTAAACCTGTCACTTGCTTCTGGCCCCAAGCCCTGGTAGAATCTCATGTACTCGCCACTTAGACTCAGGCTTGGAAGATACTGGGTGGGTTTCAGTGCATTCCGGAGCCCCCTCCTCCCAAACTGCAGGCAAACTGTTAGTGATTATGCAGGGGTGCGTTTCCCTGACTAGGGGTCGCCGGCCCCTAGCAGGTAGAGACGCTACAGCAGGTGTGATGGGATTGCACCTGGGCGTGCGTTCCCAGACCCGGGAGTAGACGTGGACGTTAAGCTTTAGTTATTAGAAGTTATTCGTGGCCCTTAGACAGAGTCGGACGCCTTTATTTAGTAATTGTTGAGAATCACCCTTGTTCTGCTCTCCCCTCCGCCTGCCTGTCTCAGAAAGAGGGACACCCCTCGCTTCTCCGCACCTGAGTTCCCTCCCTTTGCCCAGTGCAGACTCAATTGGGGAGCTCTTCTCAGGTTTTCCCTGGTCTCTTGTGGCGGTTCCCTGAGCCTGGGCAGCAGCTGAGAGTCTAAGTCGGAAACATCAGGGGGCTGCAGAGGCCTTGGTGATAAGTGTTTCTTTCTTTCTCTCCTCTTCCTCCTCTCCTGCATGGCCTCCCTCTCTGCCAGCACTGGAAAGTCCTGTTTGATCAGGTATGTGAGCAGTTAAATGCAACCCCCCCCCATCCTCCCATAATCAGTCGCCCTGCTTGCGTGGGCTTCCCCAGCTCTGCACTCCTGAGATGGCGACGTGGGGAGGGGGGTGTGGCTTAGTGCATCTCTGGGACTGAACACAGTGCTCTGCACGGCACTCCAGGTTTCAGGAGGAGGTGGAGGGCTCCCCTGAGAGATCCTTCCTTCCTTCTTCCTCCCAACTCTACTTCAGCAGAGCTGGGTTTATATCATGTAGAAATTGGACAATGTATATTGAAACCCTGGGACGTTCTCTATAAGCCAGGGGATTGCAGTGAGGCTGGGGAGGTGGGGGAAGGGCTTAGGTTAGCATCTCCTCTCCTCTCTGCCTCCACCATCAAAGGTCTATGGCCACCACTGAAGTCAAATCTCTGCCATCCTTGGCGGGTAACTCACAATACGGACTCTTTTTTTTTATTTTTATTTATTTTTTTAAAGATTTTATTTTTTCCTTTTTCTCCCCAGTGCCCCCCGGTACATAGTTGTGTATTCTTCGTTGTGGGTTCTTCTAGTTGTGGCATGTGGGACGCTGCCTCAGCGTGGTCTGATGAGCAGTGCCATGTCCGCGCCCAGGATTCGAACCAACGAAACACCGGGCCACCTGCAGCGGAGCGCGCGAACTTAACCACTCGGCCACGGGGCCAGCCCCACAATACGGACTCTTTTGAAAGCTGACTCTTCTTGAATTTTGCGGCAGGAATGAGGGAGTTATAGAAAATAGTACGTGATTGTTTGCAATGCCTAGAGCCCAGGTGTGGGGAGCGGAGATGAAAGTGCCAGCTTTAGAATGTGGAAGCGGACATTTGACCTTCAGCAAGGAAATGGTTCTGTTCTTTGCTTGGTACTAGTGTTGAGTGGCGGTGTGTATTTCCTTCTTCCTGCCAGTTCCAGGATGCGGAGGGAGTGGGGGCAAGAGATGTCTCAGGGGCTGGGAATCAGAAAGCGTTGCAGTCCTGGGGTGAAAATGATTGTGCCCTGAAGTTTGTGCAACTTTAAGAGACCAGGCTGGTCGGACCAGAGGGAATGTGTTGGGTTGGAGAGGGACGTAAAGCTGAAAAAGTAGCTTGGATCAGATCATATACTGTTGTAGGCAGGAAAAGCCTTGGAAAGTTTTTTAGCAGGTTTGTTACAGGATCCAAGCAATGCTTTGGGAAGATGCTGTGTGATAGTGAGATGGATGGCAGGGATGAGAAAAACTAGCCGGGAGCCTACTGTGGTGAATGGACACAAGCACCTTGACTGGGAACGTGACAGGAAGAATGGAAAGGAAGAGGGACATGGCGATGGGAAAATTGGAAGATCTTTCTAGACCTGAATAGATGAAGTGAACCACATATATAACTTTGGGATTCTGAACCTAGGAGAAAAGGAAAAGTCAGGGTGGGGCTGGGGGGTTGGCAAAAATGACAACTTTGGTTTTAAACAAGTTCAATTTGAGGAGCCAGCTAAATGCAGATGCCCAAGTGGGACAGAAGACATGGAATTGCAGCTTGGAAGACTTGGCAGTCCTGGGATGGGAATTTAGGGTGTCATCCACGTTACCACAAGGCATGGCTATGGTTTGTGGAGCGTCCGCCGGCTCCTGTCCCGATGGGGTAGTGCATCTCTCCCTCGGCTCTCGGGTACCGCCCACTCTCCCTCTGGCTCCTAAGAGTACAGCAGCTGCTGGCCTGATGCCCTGAGGCAGGAGGGAGCCACCTGCTGCTACTGATACCGCGACCAGCAAGCTGCCAGCCCCTCACACCTCCTGCCAGATTTAGAATCAGAACCTAGAACAAAGTGTATCAGTGTTTTTTTCTCTGTGTGTTTCTCATTTGATTAATTTCCTTTGCCAGTCCCTGTGTGTGTGTTTACATTTTAAAATGAACTGTTTGGGTGAATAGAGGAAAACTTTTAGTAGGAAGAATTTGGAACTGGAGGGAGCGGAGAGAATGTGTGGCACCTAATATTAGCGGGTGGTCTATGAAATCCAATTTCTCTTACTGCAGGGAGATCCTGCATGTCACAAAGAGCATCCCCCTGCTTCTGGGGAGGCCCACCCAGAAACCATTTCGGACAGACAAAATTAACTCTAGGAAAGAAACTCCCCAAACTTACTCTGGAGAAACAGTTTTTTCTTACGATAGGTTCTGCCTTACGTCTCCTCGCCAGCCCTCAGGCGGCCTTAGAAACCCATTTCTGTCGTGTTTCTTCCTATCGGTGCTTTGCATTTAAGGAGAGCTGCTTATGAGCAGGGCTTGACCTCTGGCAGATGTCCAGTCCCTCTACGTCCCTTCCCCCTCCTCTGTGCAGCCGTGCCTGCCTCATTCCCCTGATAGGGCTAAATGAAGAGTAGGTGTGCAGCTTCACAAATGGAAGCACATCTTCAGAAGGACACCAGGTTGTTCGGAAAGCTGCAGTGTCGCATCCTCCCTGCCTCTTCCCCTGGGCTTGCTTAAAGGTAGGGTTTGGTGATTGGTGAGCTTGGTGCACTTAGGAAGGAATGTTCTGCTGGGCGTTGCAGGCAGCCTCCTCACCATCTCATACAGCAATAGGCAGTCCTGACAGGTCAAACTGTGGTGAATGGGGTAGGATTCACATGGCACCTGTTGGAGTCCCTGCAAGCTGATGTGGCCCCGGAGTTCACCTTCCAGAGGTCAATAGAATGGGAGCCTGGCCCTGGTCAGTCCTCCTTGCCTCCTGGGGAACCAGTGATCACCTGGTTCCAAACTGGGATCTGCTGGGACCTTTCTCCAGGTGTTAGGGATGGAATGGAACCAGTCCCTCCGTGTTGTCTGGTTCTTCAGCGTGTAGAGTAGCTTTGACTCAGCATGTAGCTGATTGGAC